TTAAGAGCTTGTTGTATTTAATTGGAACTAAAGTTTATGATGTCTAAAGAGGCAGAAAAGTTTAGCTTGGATGGTAAAAATAAAATTAAGGTTGTTGCTGGCTAGAGTATACGTGGCGATAGATTTAGAATTTTACGTTTCAGTATTATACGGATATTCAACACACAAATACAGAACAAAATTTTCACGTGGAAAATCCTAAAAAAAGAGGAAAAACCACGAGGTTACGACCATTTGAAATAATTACACTAGTATCTGAATATATTACAAGTGCATGATTCATCCTCAAAATTGAGATCGATTAGATTACAAAAATGACAAATAAAAATTGGATGGAATTTTGGTTAAATTTGGTGATTGGGCAGAAATTCAACAGCAGTTTGCAGTCATGGGCGGATCCCCCATGTACTCGGGGAAAAAAATATTTTTTATATCCCCCCCCGGTCGCAAAAAAAAAAAAAAAGAATTTTTTCCCACCCTAAAAAACAAGTTGGATCCGCCCCTGTTTGCGATATGGCCGAAGTTCGACGTCGGTTGGTGACTGGGCGGAAGTCTGCCGTCAATTGGTGGACGGACGGAAGTCCGACATAAGTCGGTGGCTGTAAGTCATGCGATGGTTGTGGAGGAGTCTGGTGGCAAGAGAGCTCCCTTCCTTCTCTTCCTTGATTCTTTCTCTTCCTTGCTTCATTCTCTTCTTTGCTTGGGTACCTTTTCATGAGGACTGAGAGTCAATTTATAGTTTTCTGAGAGTGGCATAACCAATAAATGAAAGGGAGATCAAGGGTAGGTTGGGAGTGATTTGAATGGATGACTGATTTTGATTATCGTGATCGTGAACCGTTTACTAGGCATTTGAATGTTTTAATGATATTAGAATTTGGAGATCTTGGGCTCGTTGGATTTGTCTCGTCGAGCCGCTTGATTCGACTATAAACATGTTATGTTTGGAAGCCGTTTGGTAATCCAAATTAAAGTTTGAACATTCCAAATGTGCTTCGGGTCTTTGATTTGGATCCATTTGGGCCCAAATTGGGTCTAATTTGATGTCGTTCTGTTTGTCTTTTGAAGACGTTCAGTTCAACTGTAAGTTTGCTACAATCGGAGTTCAGATGGTCCCAAATTTAACTTAGAAAGTTTCCAACTTAGTTTTGCCTAACCGATCAAGATAACTTTTTGATGATATACCAAGGATTTAGATTTAAGTTGACAATAAATGGTTAGATTTTACGTTGATAATAATACAGTTTTTAGTTTAGCATGGATCATACAAATAAAATTAGGGTTTAGGGCTAAAAATTGGAACTAAAGTTTATGATGTGTAAAGAGGCAAAAAAATTTAGTGTTGTAAAATGACTCAGGATTTTACATATTAGATTATGAATCATTGTTAAGCTAAAAATTGGAACTAAAGTTTACACAGCTCATCTTGGCCTGTTGGTTGAGAGCTTATGCTTTAACTAAGAGGTCCTGGGTTCGAGTCTTTGTGTATGCGTGGTGTGTGTGAGTTTGTCTTAATTGACCTAAATGTCCCAAAAAAAAGTACAAAATTTTGCTAAAAGCAACAAAAAATAGTAGTCAAATAAGAATTTTGATTGCTATTCCAAAAGCAAGGAAGTAAGAAAGTTATCCCAAATGAAGTCTTAGTGTAATTAATTTGACAATTAAGGCTTCATTTGGGATAACTTTCTTATTGTTTTTAAAGCAACTTTTTAGCTCAAAAAATTTTTTAACTAAAAAATTATTTTAGAAAGCAATAAGAAAGTGGTCCATAATGAAACTTAATTCTTAAATTTGAGTTACAATTTTGGGTCTTAAGATCAAATAGATAATCATAAGAGACATCAAAGTTTTTTATGTAGAAACCCCTAAAAATGGGTAAAAACCAAAAGGTATTGCCCAGTTGAATTAATCCCCTAGTGTTTCCAATCCATTACAAATGATGACCTTCATTGGGGAAAGGCATTGGCTTGATGTACCCAATATACATTTATATAGAGTACTTTACATGGTGAGAGTTGGAAGAATCATTGCTGACATGCTTGTTTGGTTTGCAGTACCATAGTCGGCGATCGATGTAGGTTGTAGCATCATAGTCGGGCGACAGAGATCGAAAAGATCACAGTCCAATGAAGGAGATAAAAAAGATCATAGTAAGGTGACAGTGGTCAGAAGGACTATAGTTGGTGGGCGATGGAAGTCGGGAAGATCGTATCGGGGTGATGATTGTTGGAAGGACCGCAATCAGTCGACGGAGGTTAAAAATACTATAGTCGATGGGCACCGAAGGTTGAAAAGACTATAGTCTGGTGACGGTGGTCCAAAAGATTATAGTTACCATGCTACAAATGACATAGAGATCGTAGTCTGGATACAATGGTTGAAAGTATCTTAGTTGGGTGATGGTGGTTGGAAGGTTTTGTAGTTGGCAAGCGACGAAGGTCAGAAAGACCATAATTAATGGATAACGAAGGTCAGATTGTACCATAGTCAACATGTGACGGTAATCAGAAAGATAGAAGTCAGCGGCGACAGAGGTTGGATTGGACCGTAGTCGGGTGACGATGGTCGAAAAGACTGTAGTTGGTGGGCGAAAAGGTCAAAAAGATCTACTCATCGGTCAACAGAGGTTGGATTGGACCATAAACAGCAGGCAATGATAGTTGAAAAGACTATATATATAGTCGGCAGGTGACAAAGGTTGGATTGGACCATGGTTGGGTGACGATGGTCGGAAGGATCATAGTTGGCTGGTGAAGAATGTCAGTAAGATTGTTGTCGGAAGGGCCGAAGTTTGGCAATAATCGATGGCACGATGTAAGTCCAACGACAGTTGGTGGTTAGGTGGAAATCTGAAAAAAGTCCAACGACGGTTAGTGGCTGAGCGATGGTCAAGGAGGAGCTTGATGGCAAGAGAGATCTCAAATTTTTTTCTCTCCTCTCTTCTTTCCCTTTCTCTCTTCCTTGCTCCTCTCCTTTCGTGAAGAATGAGGGGTCAATTTAAAGTTTTTTAAGAGTGCAAATACGGAGAAGATCAAGGGCGCATTGGGAATGGTTCGAATAGACGACCGATATCGATTCCCTTGATCATAGACTATTTATCAAGTGTTTAAGTTCTTTAATGATGTTAAAATTCGTTGATCTTTGTCTCGTCGAGCCACTCGATTCAACTATAAGCATGTCAAATTTCGTGATCATTTGATCATCTAATTTATGATTTAAGCTTTTCAAATGCACTTTGGGTCCTTGATTTGAACCTATCAAATTTGGTATAGTTGGGTTTGTTTTTTCTAGACGTTCAGTTCGACTATAAGTTTGCTGAAATAAGAGTTCAGATGGTCTTGAATTGAATTTTAGAAGTTTCCAAACATAATTTGCCTTGATATTCGTGCCCAGCAATATATATATATATATATATAATTTGTAAACAAGTAAAATGATTATATTGAACATTTGTTAAAAATGAGCGTATATTCAGAGAAATTATAATAAGTTGAACAAAAATATGATGTTCAAGAATAATTTTCAACTCGGGCTGATTTTTAATTAAAAAAGGTCGAGCAAGCAAAATATTTACATTAAATAAATTCAAATAGAGTTTGTTTAGGATGGTTGTAGGTGATTGTAAAATTGTTGTAGGGAAAATAATTTTTTTGAAAGATACTATAAAAAAAAGCTTCCTAGCACATAAATTTCTTGAAAGTAATGAAAAAATAGTAGCTAAATAAAAATTGTTGTGGTTTGAAAGGTAAAACACTAAGAAAGTTAACTCAATAAAACTCTTAGACTTTGTTTGAGACGTCTTTCTTAATATTTTCTAAAATAGCTTTCTATTATTTTTTTTGAAAGCAGCCAAAAAATAGTGGTAAAGAATATCTCAAATCAAGTCATATGCTTCATTTGGGAAAACTTTCTTACTGTCTTTTAAAACAGTTTTCTATTACAAAAATTTATATTTCAAAAAATTTTTGTACTAAAAAGCTATTTTAGAAAGTATTAAAAAAGTTGTCACATACTAAGTCTTAAACACTTAGGCTTCATTTGAGACTATTTTTTTACTGCTTCTTAGTCGTTTTGGACGTCTTTCTTACTGCTTTTTAAATTAATTTTTTAGTAGAAAATTTTAAATTTTTGTTCTAAAAAGTTGTTTTAAGAAACAATAAGAAAGTTATCCCAAACAAAACCTTAGAGGAGCTTTATGTATAAAAATATTAATTTTTATTAAAAAAGCTGCTCTAAGAAGCATTATGAAAACCACCCCAAGCCAAACCTTATATTAATACAAAAGTAGTTCTTTCTCTTGATTTTATTATGTTTTCTCCATTCTAGCATTGAGATTCTTTCATGCAATAGTATGGTTGTCAATATATGACAACCAAAAAATTTGATTCGGAACCCGATCTGAAAATTTCTAATTTGGGTCGATTTGTTTCATATATATATATTTAATGATAAATTACATGCATAAAATTTTAAATTATATAAATCATCTTATTATATATATTGTCTAATTTTCGGGCAATTATCAAGATTATAATTACTGATAAATATGCAAATGAGCATACTAGAAAAAAAGAAAAAAAATATCTTTACTGTACAAAATATGACAGATGTATCTCATTCAATCTAAAAAAAATTAGTTTTATAAAATTTTATTAATAAAATGAATTATCTAATTTCCCAAAAAAAAATGAATATCTAAATATTTAAATACATTTAAAATTCATATATTTGATCGTTTTATAATCAAATTATTGATAATCTTGTGTCCTTCAACTATTAGATGATGTTGTTATAATTAAAATAATTAAATAATATTTGTTGAAATACATAAAAATAGAAAATTAAATAATCATAAAAAGTGGGGCAAAACTAGAAAGTTGGGGAAATAAAGATGATGGAATCCAATAAAATGGGGGGAAGCTGACGTGGGAGCAGTGGATGCTGAGATTCTAACCGACGGCCCAGATTCCCCTCCCTCTCTTTTATTATCCCCTTTCCCTTCTTCCTAAAACCCCCAACCCGACCCTCTTTCTCCCTTCACTGACTAGCGGCCGGAGATGTTGCTAGGTAAGAGGCAGCGGCCGCCGATCAGGAGGACGACGAGCCTGTCGGAGTTCGTGGCCGATCTTGAACTGCCACAGGAGCCGCCAAGGCCGTCCGATCAAGAGATTCCGGCGATCATCGCCGTCAATCACCATATTCCGCCGTCGAGGCAGATGTGGGGGGAAGGACACTGGACGGCGGAGTGGCGGACGAACACGGCATCTTCTGTCGCTGCCATGGTTTCGCCCCGGGTGCTGCGCAGAAACTCCGGCGACTTCACGGCCTTAGAGACGGCGCCGTTTCTCAGGTCGTGCGGCCTTTGCAACCGTCGCTTGGCTCCTGGCCGCGATATCTTCATGTATAGGTAGTTTGTGCTAGGCGATGCGTTTTTTAGTTAGTTAATTGATTTTTCTTCTATTTTTGGGGAATGATTTTTTTGCATCTGCTCTTTTATTTCTTGAGATTTTTTTTTTACCCGTAGAATTTTGTATTTGTTTTGCTATTTGTAAACAAAGATTAGAGATGTTTTGTTAAGAACCCTATGGAGTGGAGTATGAACTCTGCTCATCGTTTTAGTTATGTAATTAATAATCCAAGTCACGATTGAGAGAAATTATTTTGTAAGCATAACTCGAGATTCTCTTGTGATTTATTATCCATATTTTAACTGCTTAATTCTTTTTTTTTTTCTTTCTGCACATGTACTCTTATACAGGATCAACCCCCCAAAAATACAAAATAATACATACAAAAATATCAAAATAAAATTTCTAAAATCCATAGATAACTCGCTTTTAAAAACAAATCTCCTGCTTTTCCAAACTTTAGATCTTCTTCTCTCTCCCTTTTTTGCCGCTAAAATTAAATTTTTTATACAGATGCCACAGATTTATTTATAACTTTTAACCATCCTCTCCTTGCTTCTTTTCTACAGGGGTGAGATTGCCTTCTGCAGCTTGGAGTGCCGTCAACAGCAAATGAATCACGACGAGAAGAAGGAGAAGTACTTTATCTCAACCATAAAGGATTCTCCTCCGGCGACCTCCGGCTCATCCGACCCCTCCACCACCGGCGAAACAGTAGCAGCCACCTGAGAGGCACGAATCTATATATATTTATATATATATAGTTTTTCCAAGAGTATTTTGTATGTGCTGATTATGATGCAAGTGTGAAAGCTTGCAATTGTAGATTGGTATATGGCTTTTGGTTTCATCTATGCTTCGGTAGAGTTCATAAAGCTATTATGGAGTTGTGTCTCTCTCTATCTCATTTTGTTTTCTCTCGCTCATTATGTAAGAGCAGATGTGAAAGTTCTTCCACCCGTTTGTTTGCAAGGGGTGAAAAAAAAAAAGAGAAAACGAAAGAATTCATCAAATTCTGGGACCAGCTTGAGATTCCCCTTCTCTTTCATTCTCCTTACTATTTTATTGTTCTTTAATGTGTGGTGTTTTGGATTTAGCAAGACAGCTGGGTGCAGTTATTTTAACTGATAAAGACCTTTAATATAGCGATTAATTAATCCTTTTTTATATTAATATTTTTTTGTTTCATCACTTAAATATTTAACCAAAATTATATATTAATATATATATCATGAAATATTTTATTTAATATTAGGTGGATTCAATGGAGCAATAACCATCAAATATTTAATATATATTTGTACATAATAGAATATTTATTAATTTTGGATTATTATTATTATTATTATTGTTCGTCTAAATGCATTCTTTAAAGTAACTGTTCAATTCTTGTCTTCATTATAATTTTATTTAATTCATTAAGTTAAATTTTTTTAATTCTGATTTTTTTTGTCTACTTTCATTAATTTTTGTATGGAGCTTGCTATTGACTTTGGAATAGTTCGCATTAAATAAAAAAAAACTAAGATATTCATAAATAGAACCAGAAAATCCAATAGGAATTTCTTATAGGGGTCACTCATGAGCTCAGCTAACTGAGAACGAGGGGATTTAATAAATAACGGAAATGTCCATTTTTATTTTTTATTATTTTTAAATTTTGAATCAGGGTGATATTTCATTATAATATCATGTTAGACATCATTGTTTGATCTATTGGTTGAGTGTTTTGGCTATCAATTAAAAAATTTTGGGTTCAAATTCTATGCATGTGATGTGTGCGTGAATTTGGATTAATTATTATGTGTGGACGCCTAACGTACTCCAGATACCAACCAAAATGCGTCACGTCACCCATGTGCTCGGTACTACTAGGTACCGCTTGTTATCGCAGCTTGGTACAACCAACATGGCACGTTCTGGTTGATCTCTGGATAGCGTTCTGCATCCGAGCTCCGGACGGCGTTCTGCGTCTGGCCTTTGCACATAATAATTTCTCATGAATTTGACTTAATTATCCTAAATGTTCCAAAAAAAAAAATTATCATGTTATATTTTGAAACTTATCATAAAGTAGCTTTCATTTATAGAAAATATGAAAAAAATAAAATATTGTGCATGAATTGTTGGACACTTATCTATTCACATAAATGTGGGGGGTATATATTTATATGATTAAAATCTATGGTGAAATTTTCATAAAGCAGCTTTCTTTTATAGAAGAATGTTTTTTAGTTCATGGCGAAATATTAGAAAAAGGAAACTATTTACCTATAATTTTGAGAAATATTAAAATGCTCTCCATACATAGGAGAAAGAGTTAATTTGAAGGTTCATTTCATTGCTTGTAAATGTAAATAAAACATATATTATATTTTTTTTTAAATAAAGATTTTATTTTAAGTTATTTTTATTATGAAAATAAAATAATCAATGTTAGAGAATTGTAAGAAGATTGTGAGCTTGATGAAACTAATGTTGGTGTCAATCACCATCCAATTAAATACACAATCTAATAAATTTATTATTTTAAATTAATAATTTTTAAATTTAAAACAATGTCTGAAGAACTTTCACATCCAATTAAATACAAATTTTAAATATATTAGTTGTGTACATTGAACTATTATAATTTAATGTCTGAAGAACCTAAACCACACAATCAAACAAATAATAAATAGAAAATTATAGCGGAAAGAAAGGAACAATAAGATTTAACATGAAAAAAACTTGAAATCGGAAAAAAATCATGAAGCCACACCACAACAATAAATCAACTATGAAAATTAAGAGAAATAGTACATAACTCTCTTCACTCTAACACCATTTTTATACAAGAACAAACAAAGAGATACACAACAATCACAAAGGGACGCAACTCTTAATGAAAAATGAGAAAGAAAATTACTCTGTTTGCATTGCAGCGCTGCGATACCAAGTTGGAGCGCCACGACACTCAATTCTCTCTCCCCTAGCAAAGTCGCCACTCTGAGGTTTGGAGCGTCGCAAAGCTTCTCTCTGCCCTTTTCCACCAAACTATGTAATTTCGGGCCGCTTAAGTACATAGCGTCGGAGCACTGGACACTAAAAAATAGTTGGGTAAAAAACACCAGAACCCAAGTTGGGGGAGAACCTATTACAACCCCCTAGCAGGCCCGGTAGACTAAATTGAGGACCAAGGCAATAATACAACTCGATTGATCAACACAATCAAATACTACACAAAGCTAACATAACTGATCATTTAGAATTTTTTTAAGTGAAATTTTAGAGCTATATACCATGATTTTTCTGGCTAATAAATCATGTATATATAATGAGGTTTGGCAAGTTGAATTTATGTTAGACGATCAAATTTTTTGTTTTTGTTTTTTGTGGGCGGACTCGAATATGATTTATCGATTAGAATTCTCAAATTTATTTTCAATGATCAATATGTTACTAATTCGAACATCTAGATAACCAGATTGAATATATGCAATAATAACATCTTGCACAATGAGATAAACACTATTATTCATTGCTAAACATAGAGAAGCACTTAAGCTTGATAATGGCTTAGAGAAATGTAATATTTTGCTAAAGAAATGTAAAAATGAGCTTAGTTTTTCTTCTAATGATGAAGGAGAATTTAAGATGGGGTAATAACTATACTGCGTTTACTTATAGAAAACATATAAAAAGTAATCTAATTGTCTGATCATCGGGCGATTTAAACTATCATACATGCATCTCACTATCTCAGTGCCTATGCGACACAAATCAATCTGCTGAATAACCATAAAATTTTTTTATTTTCAAAAATTTTTCTTATAATTTTCTCATATGAAATCAGGAGAAATTATTCTGTGGAGTCCGGATGAAAAAAATTGTCCGTACTGTGAGTATACACACTGGTTTGCATTAGTTATAACCGCTGAGTGCCTACATCAAATGCTTCGTCGAATCTACTCCGCCAGTTCTTAAACCGCCGCGAAGTGTCTTTGCGATGCATAGCAACTATAGCGGGCATCCAGTAGTTTTAAAACCGCTGCGAAGAATTTTGTAGCGGTTATAATCGCCAGGATAACTCAAAAATAGTACTGTAATAGCTGTATGTTTTGATAATGACAGGGTGTGCACATACTCATACATCTGAACGATTCTTTCTATCCAGACTCCGCCCATAATAATTTCTCTGAAATCAGGGGCTATTGATGCTTTCCTTGGCCACCATAGTGGCATTTTTCTTGATATGATAGTATCACATGCAGTCCTGCATGCCCATTGGATGATGATCTTTGAATGAGTCGCACTTTTCCACCGAGTATTTGATCGCAGCTTAATTGGCTCACTGACTGATTTCTTGGTCTTATGGAATTAAATTATTTCTACGGGTACATATTGGGAATAGCATTCAGGCATTGCCTTGGAAGTTGGATAACATAAGCTCCATGCTTGTAGCCAAAATTTTATCGTGCTATCTGCCTCTTATTTAATTGATTGAAGTAGAGGTGTAAATAGGTGGAGCCAACTTAGAGTTATTTCTATTTTTTTTTAACCCAAAAATTTTATTTCAAAAGCAAAAAGAGTATAACCAGCTGAAAATATAAATCGAAACAAGTTACAAAGGATGACAGGGTTAACAACTCGAACGGCTCAATAGTTGGCAGAGGCTTCCAACTTCCCTGTAAGTCAGGCACGGGCCATCCAGTATGGAGTGACAGCAGTAACAAACGAAAAACCACTAGCAGAAGATGCACCACCAAAGATTGTGTCCCGCATCGTGTCAGTCCGCGTCCCGCGTCCGGCGTCTGCCCGCCTCCGGCGTCAGGCTGATTACGGCGTCTGTCCGCGTCCGGCGTCGATCAGTTCGCATCCCGCGTCAGTCCCGCGTCCAACGTCAGTTCGCATCCCGCGTCAGTCCGCGTCTCGCGTCAGTCCCGCATCCCGCGTCAATCCGCGTCTCGCGTCAGTCCCGCATCCCGCTTCAGTCCGTAGGTCGAGTCGAGTTGACCCGAACCCGAAGCAGGTCGAGTTCGGGTCTAGAAAATCCACCCATTTGCAATACGGGCCGAGTCAACCCGAACCTGAATAGTGCCGGGTCAGTTTCGGATTCGACCAGAACCCGACCCGTGACCCAAAATTTACACCCCTACTCTTAATAGAGAGCCAAATCCTCTAAGTATTAGAATAATTAGATAAATAGCCAACTAAACTAAACTCACACATATATCACATGAGGGAGCTTCAAACCCGAGACCTCCCGATTAATAATCAAATCTCCCAAACAACAGAACAAATTAAGCGAAGTAATTGATTCTAATCAAATAATTTATTGCCGTCTCTTAAAATATGCGCCATCAATGTCAAGTGGGTCCACTAATATAAATACAGACCCCTAATCAAATGCTATCAGAGAAAACAGGTTCTATATTAAATCACTTTTTTTCCTATAATACAAATTGAATCGAAATCAGTGAGACAAAGTCCGGTTCAAAACAAATTTGAATTGAATAACGGATCAAGAGCTGAAATATATGTAACTATATAAATGAATTCATGAATTTATTAATACTTTTGTTCTTACATCACACCATATAAGCATGCATTATGTACCTAATTATAAAGTTTCGGGCTTTGGCATTCAGCATCTTTCAGATTTCCTTTTAAGGCTTTTTATATGTCGACTTTTTTTACTTTTCTTAAACTAAAATTTTAGTACAAAAAATTTTTAAAATGCTTTAGAAAGCAATGAAAAAAATATCCCAAGTGAAGTCTTAAATTTTATTTGTATTTGAGATGACTTTGTTACTGTTTTCTAAAGCAGTTTTTTGAGTAAAAATATTTTTATTGTACTAGAAATCTGCTTTCGAAAGCATTAAAAAAGCTGTCACAAACGAAGCCTTAAGCAACATGGGAAACCGTACAATTATTGAGACTGTGAGGATATTTCAAGTTAATCTTACCGAATATTAGGTTTTATAAGGGTTCATAAAAAAAAAATTTAATTTGACAACTGTCCTTTCGACCCAAGCCTCCTGCCGACTACAATCCATTTGACCCCGC